CTGGCTAACACCGACTTGAAGCATAAAAAGAGAAACTACTTCATATGGAATCCCCCAAATTCAGACAAGATGAACACATTGAGATCAAACTCCCATAAGTCAGCCATCGTTGGAGAGGATCAGTGGAAAATTGTCCTTCCTTTTGCAGTAGCAGTTTTGACTCAGATCACCCGCTAGTACCAGCTCGTCTATGTCTGCACCTTAATGGTCGCCGGAAACAACCGATGGTATATCATGTTTTTGCTCGATTGGTAGATGACCACACCAAATACGTATTTAAACAAAAATAGCTAAGCATTTATCGGAACATCAGAGCAATCCTCATACTGACAAGACCTACCATGATATTAAGTCTGATGTAGAAAAAACAGTAAAGATAACTGGTAACCTACAACCCAAGACTAGCGAACGTCAGTGGATTTCTACAACATCATCCGAACTGATTGATGCAAGAAGGCTGATTCCAGATGGCTCTCACCAAGATGGAGAGCGAAATCAACTCAAACACAAATTGATCAAGAGTCTTCGCGTCGATTGTCAGCAGTGTTGGGTGGCGATGGCAAGGGAGATAAAGAAGGTATCAGCGGTGGGTAACACTCCCCAACTATCTAGACTTATTAAGGATACACGCAAAAAGAAAACGATGCTCAGTGCAACCATCACCGAGAAGGATGGGATGATGATAACCTCCAACGACAGACGACTAGAACCTTGAGCAGAACACTTTGAAGCACACTTCAACTACCCATCACCAACCTGTCAGTTGCTCCACATCCAACCTGAAACTGAATGGGACGTAGATCTCGGTCCTCCAACTCGCCTTTTTTAAATTCGAAAGGCTGTGTCGAACCCGAAGTCATGCAAAGCAGAAGGACCTGACAGTTCGCCACTCAAAGTTTTCAAGGATCCAAGTAGGAGATTGCTGATAAGAGTAAAGGAAATACTAACTAGTGTACTGAAACCACAAGTAGTATCGTCAGACTAGCCCATTCCTCTCATCATCCCAGTCTATGAGAACGGACACAAATCTTCCTGTGATAATCATATGGAAATCTATTTAACTGGTAGCGTATCCAACATCCTACCATCCAAAGTCACCCGACACCTAACTTTAGTTCAACAACAGTAAACTACACAGAACTAGTCACATTTCAGATATCAACGAGGGTGTATCAGTCATATGTTCACCCTCCAACACTTTCTGGAATACACGCATTCCTACTAGCACCCGATACTTGCCATATTTCCTAGTCTCAAAGTATCATTCCACTCTGTACACCACATGCTGTTGTGGCAGTATCTGACTGTGAAAAAACTACAGAACAAGTATATAGTGTTAATCAAAACTCTCTACTCGAACACACACACACACACACACAGCCGTATCACGGATAATGGAGAGTTGTCATGTAAATTGACGACAACCTGTGGTATCCGCCAGAGAAGTCCACCCTCACCACTCCTGTCCAGCCTCGTCATCGACGTACTAATGGACATAACATTAGGTACTTCTGACTTCACAGAGATTAATTTTCGCTCAGGAAGTTATCTGGTTGATTTGCAGTGTGAGGACGATATTGTCCTGCTAGGTGAAGACGCTGACAAAGTCCAGCGTCTTGTGAACACGCTCAGTAGAAGTCTGAGTTTGTTTCACATGCATTTCTCACCTGTCAAAATGCACCATGAAGCTTCACAACTGATCTCCTGTAAGTAATCTCAGTTTAATGATAGGTGGTAGTGAAGTGGTGGAATATGTCGACAACTTACTTCACTTAGTTGGGTGGTTACATAGGCACGAACGAGCTGACTGTTGACGAAATTTCAGCTCGGATACAGAGAGGTTGTTTGGCAATTGCCAACCTGCATCCCGACTAGCAAGATATTCGAATACCTATAAAAGTACGAGTACACTGCACTGCAGTCTGTTCTGTCCTGCTATACGGCTGTGAGACATGGTCGTTGAAAGTAAAAGACATGAGACTGTTACAGGTGTTTGATCGTAGGTGTCTTCATGACATTGCTCGCGTTTGTGGTTACTGTGTGAGGTGTTGAAGTCAGGCAAAAGTGACTGAGCAAGATCGGCAAGCCGATTGATGAGGTTGTGAACCTTAGTCGACTGAGTTGGTTTGGACATGTACTGCACATGCCGAGTCACCACCTACCTCAACGTGCTAGGCTAGAGGAAGTCGGATTTGGTTGGAAGAGGGTTCATAGGGGCCATACTAAGACGTGGCACCGGTCGATAAAGTCCCTGACTATTGGTCTGAGCCGTGCATAGATATGTAGACAGCCTGGCTGGGATTCTTGAGACCCTTGGTGGCATATGTGAAAATGGGTCACAGTGGCACAGATGTATTTACTCTTTGATGTAGGATATTTGCACTTACATTTAACGTCATATTGTTTATTGTCTCATACAACTTTGTCCACTATTATATCACTCTTGTTCTGTCTACCTGTCTTCATGTTCTACAGTGAAGTGTTGCAACTTAAGCCGATGCACTTGTGTGTAGAAGCTGTTGCGTTGATATTTTCTGTCTGTTTCTGTCTTCCAAAATGATAGGCAATCCTTTACCGATCCTCTTTAACGGTGGCTAATAGAAATATGACACTTCTGTATGTATCGTTGGTGTGATATCTCCAGACGCTAAGTGAGATAGCGTTTCTTCTGAATTTAATGACGGTCAGAGAGAAGCGATTATCGGAATAAAACTTAAAGGGACGACCATGATTGTCGGTTTGTTGGCATAGGATTCCGCACATAACTCAAAGATGTCTTTTCGAGTGACTCAGCTTCCCTACTCGAGCGCTGAAGTCACCAGATAGTATAACAATATCTGGACGTTTTGCATTACATAGCAAATTAAACAGCTTCTCATGGAATTCATCGTTTGTATAATCCATACTGCAATTTTTGGGTGCGTAAGCGGAGATTGTGAACAGGTATCGATGAGTGATAGGATCTTCACTAGTTCTTATTAATACATTCAGTTGGAAAGTATGCATATGGCTGTTGACTGGTATTCAGTGGAAAAGTGTGCTTTTTGTCCGACAACTCAATGCTACACCAGCAAGTCCACGAGAGCTAGCCATCGAATCTCCGGACACTCGTAAGGTGAATTTCGCAGATTCACTGCATTGGTGGATAACCACATGAGTTCTGTATGGATGTCTCAGAAACACAACATACATCAATAGCTCAAGGTCCCAAAATTTTGGCAAAAGACGCCTTTTATCCTAATTGATATGAAGTTCGGACATTGAAGGTCCAAAGTGGAAGTGATAGCATGGTTTTAGGAGACCAGGAATGATGCTTTGCTGGTTTTGGTCATTAGCAATAGTCGCAGGGTGATGGGGATCCGGAAGTCGTAAGAAACTTAATACTGGTATCAGGAAATGAAGGCAAAGACAAATGTGAGGGTAAGGTTATGGTCAACTGGGTTCTGCATATCGTTAGAAGCATGTGGATAGTTGCTACTTCCTGGATGCAAGCACCATGGAAGCTTCTTCGGCAAGATGTCTGAAAGAGGAAAAGGGTTGGTTTTGCATGACCGCAGAGCCCACAAAATACCTGCTAGAGGCCTATTAATTGTTGATTCGAGATTTGACCGTGTTACCAACGGACAGAAAAAACCCATACCGGTGTGCCGGAATACCGTAAGGCAAGAAGTGTCACAGTTGGTGCCGACCTTTTCTCACCCCTTTCTCATAAGGAAAGCAGTATCATTATTGTACTGCGGGCCATTCGAGAGAAACCTCTTGCTACTGTCAAACCTTGTTCAGTCAACAGTACAATTTAGCCTTTTGTCATCACAACGCATATATTTACACTGACGGTAACTACCTTTTGTCCTACCACAACTAACAAACCTTTGTGGCATGGTAGGAGCTCAAGAAACAAGTATTCCAGCCGGCATAACTTGTCGGGTCATTTTGACATACAAGCCTGGCCACCAAATTAAGCTAGCAGCTATGATGAATACTGTTTTTAAATGTTAACCGGAGAAAATACCCGAAGCCTAATATATGTAGTTAACGTTACTGAGATAAGAAACTATGTGAAAACTACTCTAATAACATGGTCAAGTGACTCTTAACATGGTGTTATGTGTATGAGGACAAGTAAAATAATACACTGTAAAACAGAGACAGATTGCATGATAAAATTGCACAGCTGACTTTGAGACATCTCCAACTAAAATGCATTGCAGATCAAACGATAAAATCTGCATAAGTAGTTTTATTTTCGGAAATGCTAACCAATGGAATATTTCCTACAGTCCTGAGCGATGTGGCTTTAATAATTAATTATGACAGTAGCTTATGAGTTCGGAAAGAATTATCCCTGCCATGACAGAAAATATCAATATCGCGAGTCACTAAAATCTTAAACTGTTGGTATCAACTTAACACAGAACAAAGTCTACATTATTTGCTTGTCACATCACTGAAGTGAATATACTGTAGACGGACAGTTATTTCAAAACACCTTGACTTCATCTAAGTAATAGTTGGGGCAAATGGTTAACATCTGTCCCCACATATATATATATATATATATATATATATATATATATATATGCATCTATTTCTACTACCAATCTTTTTCAGTCTTAGTAAGTACCATAACTAGAGTGCAATTAGCCAGTAGTCTGACTCCTGAATAGCTATCATTTGAACATATTTTGCCGTCAGCATTGCCATTAGGTCAAAATTCAGCAGAGCATTTATCCGACCAAAACTACCTTCATAAAAAGGTTTTGAAATATGGTGAATGAAATTTAAGTGCATACAGAAGAAATGATGTGTCAATCAACGAACTTGAAGCTTTGATATACTTTCCGTAAATCAATACTTAAAAGTCTGCTGAACCTGCTTTATAGACGGAAGTGATGATAAAACAAGGAAATGAGAAGGAACAGAAAAACATCTGCGAGGTAAACCGAAATTAACGCTTCTTTCATGATTATAAAAACTTTGTTCTAGGCTTAATTGCTCACCTCAATAATATCGAGAGAAGCCGCCTCCGCACCAAGTACGCCAGACCTTAGTACTTCTTTTAAATGCTTTTTGCATTCTATTAAATAACGACTGGACTTTTTATTTAGAGTAGGATATACTCGGTTCTATACCCCGAAAGCATCAGATATGCAAAATTGATATACAAACCCAAATTGACGTCATTCACCTGGCCAGACTTCATACATGCAAAACTATGAAATTACCGATGCGCAAGCTTGTCACTGAACTGGAATGATATAAATCAATAACGTTATCCTGCGCAAAATAAAAAAAATGTAAAACAATGCTAGTGATCGTGAAAACTAAACCAGTGTTATCGCCATCAATAGAAGAATAAATCAGCTTCAGATAAATCATTCATACGACAAAATACATAGATCTATAAACTAAACTTACACTCAGCATCATACGAGCCAGTTACGAGTGTAAACAAGCCAACAAATTAATATTTTCTATCATCCAATTACAATGCATCGAATTTTAAATTATTTAAATCAACCGATTTTTTGACTGAATTGAAGAGTCAACCAACAAATGCTTGCTCTTCAAGAAATTCATCAAGGTGACTGCCTAAAAATTACGAACGTTACCAGTTCATTATTGAGGTAACTAATCTATGGCCTAACCTCGCGTGGTTAACTAGTTCACTAGTTACTAGCCGGTCCTAAGCCCGAGTAAAGAGGGAAGGTTGGGCATACAGCTAGCAACCCTACCCTGCCCCTGCCCCGTAAAACCAATCTAACCACTACAGAAACTCCAAAGCATAAAGAAAATATAAAAAATAAAAACAAAATTATTCCTCGCTGGAATCGGAGAGATGAAATGATGCCGGTTGCTGAAAGCCTTCGAGAAGCCAATTGGCCGACGTGTCTTCTCTCACTCGATGAAACCGAAAGTAAGGATGGGGACATGCAATGTCCGCACCATGTATGAACCTACCAAGGCTGCCCAGATTGCCAAAGACATGAGAAGATATCACATAGAAGTGCTGCTTGGAATCTGCAGATGGAATGGAAGTGGACTCTCCAAACTGTCAACTGGAGAGGAGTCAATAATCTAATCTACTGCGATATTGTCACCCAGAAGATAACCACGAGCACAGCACACTGAGTCTTGCAGTGGCTATCATGTTGTCCTCAACAGCATCGAAGGCTATCCTCACATACAGTGCGAACCAATCTCCTCAACGATCAGGATCGTGACAGCAAGATTCAACTCAAAAGGAAGGAAAGTCACAATCATTCAATGCTACACTACGCTATGCACCTACAAATAATGCAGATGAAGAGGAGAAGGAGGAATTCTACAAACAACTCCAATCACTACTGGACCCAGATGGCCAGATCAAAATTCTAATACGTGACGTGAATGCCAAACTGGGAGCGAACAACACAGGAAGAGAACAAACCATGGGTCGAGAAGCACTCGGTGAAATGATGAACGAGAACGGACAACTGTTTGCAGATTTCTGCGCATTCGACGATTCGGTGATTGGAGGCAGTGTGTACGAACACAAGGGTATTCACAAAGCGACACAGACTCGATTTCACCAGACACCAGGACATACCACACTAAAAATCAGATCGACTTCATCTCAATGTGAAGAAAGTAGAGACGCAGTCAGCCTACTGGACACAAGATCAAGAAGGGGAGCAGATGTAGGTTCACACCACTCACTATCTAGTGCAAGGAATCTACCTTCAAAATCAAGTTGAAAGCCTTCAAACAAGTTGCTGATAGACCAAAGTTCAAGTTCAACACCCAGAGCAGAAACTGCACTGAAGGACAAAACAACAAAGGACATCAACATCACATCAGTCATCAGGACAAAACGAGAGACATTAGGCAACATCCATGAAGAAGCTTGCGTAGAAGAACACTGGAACTCTATGAAATGAGGCATAGAAGGAAACCTGCATAACCGTATTAGGAATGAAGAAGAAACAAGATAAGGAATGCATCTTGACGGATACATAGAAGCTGATAGAGGAGTGAGAGGAAGATGGTGAAACAGAAGATGAACCACTGCAGACCAATGCAGGGATGAACAACGAAAAGAAGAACTGAACACAACCTATAAAACACTACGACGAACAAAGAAGTGAAGAAGAGTGCACGTAAAGACAAAAGACACTTCTACGACACATTGGCAAGTGAAACAGAACAGGCAGCTGGTAGGAGAGACCTGACAACACTATATCAAATAACAAGGTTACTATCTGGTAGGGAAGAGATCAACACAGAAGAAACCAATGAAAGATAGTGAAGGAAACCTAGTCACCAAAGAGGAGAAACAAAGGAAACAATCGCCTGACAACTTCAAAAAGCTCTTGAATCGACCACCACCTGCAACGCGTCCAGAAACACCAGCAGCAGCCCAGCCACAGAACTACCAGTGAACACAAGCACTCACAAAAAAGCAGAAGTGAGGTTCTGAACGCCATAAATCTGCTGAAATCTGGGAAAGCAATACGACCAAATGGAATTCCGCCAGAAGCGCTGAAAACAGACGCAGAGACAACAGTGGGCATGCTTACACCACACCACTACTGCAGAAGGTTTCGAAGGAAGGAAGGCACCTACCGATTGGAAGAAGGGTTACCTGGTCAAACTCCCAAAGAAAGGAGACCTAACCCTTTGCAAGAACTGGCACGGAATCATGCTCCTCTCCACCACAAGCAAAATATTATGCCGCATCATACTGAAGAGACTCAAAAATGCTCTGCATTCAAAATTACGAACAGAACAGGCTGGCTGCCTGGCTGACTTCAGGAAGAAAAAGTCATGTGCGGATCAAATTGCAGCGCTACGCTACACATCATCATAGAACAGAGTATAGAATGGCAGTCAACTCAATTCTACCTCAACTTCATCGACTTTGAAAAGGCCTTCAATAGCGTCAACCGAGAAGTAACTTGGCAGTTGCTTCAACACTACGGAGTGCCACAGATCTTGATCAACCTCATTCAACAGCTGTATGATGATGATGCTACATGCCAAGTGATTGACGGTGGAAAGCTCACTGACGCCTTTGAAGAGAAGATAGGAGTAAGACAAGGCTGTCGTCTACTATCACCCATGATCTTGATGATTGCGGTCGACTGGATCATGCAGCAAACTGTGAGGAGCGAGAGGATGGGCATACGCTGTTTGACCGATGAAAAGACCTTAGAAGATTTGGATTTCGTCACCGATGATGATTTATGTCTAGTATCTCACAAACTCGAAGATCTACAGCGAAAACTAACAAGTTGACAAAAGAGGCAGGGCAGCGAAGACGGGACTTCAAATGAATGTAGAAAAGACGGAGGTCATGAAGATACCCAACCAACCAACCAACAACAAGCACCAACCACCATCAATGGGAGAAATCTAAACAAAGTTGTCTCTTTCACCTACCAGCCTACCCAGGCAGCATCGTTTCAACTACAGGCAGCACAGATGAGGATGTCAAAGCCAGAAACGGAAAAGCAAGATTCTTTCATCAATCTGAAATAATCACTGTGGACATCTACTGCACTGCACTCAGCACAAAGAACAACATCCGGATTTTCAACACTAATTCAGTCAAGTCAGTGCTTCTATGTTATGGTTGAGAGACTTGGCGCGTCACGAAAAGCATTTCCAACAAACTGGAGACATACACCGATAGCTGCTGCCTACGTTCACTCGATACTGAAGATCAGATGGCCACAATAATAAGAATAAGCAACGAGGAACTCTGGCTGGCTGTCAACAAATCAACTAAGAAGCTATCATCCAACAAATATGCAGAGGAAAGTGGAGATGGATTGGATTGGGCATACACTGAGGCCGATTGGGGACATCACGCATCAGCCCCCGAGTGGAACCCAAAGGGGAAACGATGAGTTGGGCGTCCGAGGGTGACATGGAGATCATGTGAGAAGGAAATGAAAGCTTGTGGGCAGTCGTGGAGCCAGGTTGAAAAGACTGCAGAGAACAGAGTGCAATGGAGATGTGCTACTGAAGCCCTATGTTCGTTCCACTAGGAACCCAAGGGACAAATAATAAAAATATAATAAATATTAAATCTTTGAACTATTTTTTGATTGATTCAAAAAATAATGATAACCTATTTCTTGTACAACAGTATTTACATGGACCATACATCAATTTTACAGGCATGATCGATTACAGTAACCTGTTAAAATTTCCAGCTGAGAAAACTCCCCATGGAATTATATTAGGCGTAAATCCGTTGAAATATTACACCCTGAAAATCCCATACTATGCCAAAAACACTGCCTGAAATCCAACAACGTCCAATATGCGAGTAGGGGAAACTACATACACAACGCATTGGATACGCTGTAAACCATGCTAAGAGCGGTTCAGTGATATCCACTTTTACTAGTTTGGCGAGCATGGTGCAGTGTGGGACGCTATCAAAAGCTTTGGTCAAGTCCAAGAAAATAACGTGAACTGGTTGTTTGTTGTCCCATCTATTGGTCCAATCATCCCAAGCGGTCATCAAGTTTGTGGCACATGACCACCCGGTTCTGAAGCCATGTTGGGTGAGATGGACGATGTTGTTTCTGTTCAGGTAGTCCCAAACAACATCTGCAACCAGGCTTTCCAGTACCTTGGAAAGTTTTTCGGTAACAGCGGAACGCTTCTGACTCAACTGTTGGTAGTGTCTCCTTGGTTATCAGAGAGAACCTATTAGGAGCGGTATATAGGCCACTCCTGTGCACGATACAGCATAAGTCTTCAGCTAGGACTACATGATCATAGGCTGCCATGGTGGTTGTTGAAATGCCACACTGAGCAATTGTGTCAGACTTTCATAGCTACATGACGTTACGCAACTTATGTAATATAAGAATTCGTAATGACAGACATACATACCAGAGCAACCTGGCTAAACAGTTAAGTTGCAATCCATAAAGTCTGTATCGGTTTATGTCACAACGCAAACCGACGACTAAAGGTTTATACCTGGTCACAGGGCCGGCCGGAGAACCTCTGAACAGTAGTGAGACAGCGGAACTGTTGGGCAGTCGATTCGACGAGCAACTCAACCCAGTAATACATCCACTGTCAACATCTAGTAATGTAACGAAGTCCCAGGACTGCAATACGGAGCTGATGAACGTGAAGATTTAGTCAAACCAACACTGAGAATAGAGAAATCCCTGGGCTGTGATGACATAAGACCGGTGATCCTACGCAATTGTCTCGAAGTGCTAAGCATACTCGCATACAACCTGTTCACGCACTCAAAGAATGGAAACGTGCCATCCTTTCACCAATCTTCAAGGGAGGAGACCGAAAAAACCCGTGCAACTACAGACCAACAGCATTACTCCCCATACTTTCCAAGGTACTGGAAAGCCTGGTTGCAGATGTTGTTTGGGACTACCTGAACAGAAACAACATCGTCCATCTCACCCAACATGGCTTCAGAACCGGGTGGTCATGTGCCACAAACTTGATGACCGCTTGGGATGATTGGACCAATAGATGGGACAACAAACAACCAGTTCACGTTATTTTCTTGGACTTGACCAAAGCTTTTGATAGCGTCCCACACTGCACCATGCTCGCCAAACTAGTAAAAGTGGATATCACTGAACCGCTCTTAACATGGTTTACTGGATACCTAGAGGATAGAGAATTCTGCACTAAAGTAAACAGAATTCGATCAACCTGGAGGAATGCAAAAACAGGAGTTTCTCAAGAAGCGATCCTTGGGCCACTCCTATTTTTACTATTCATAAATGACCTCCTTATTAAAATCTCCTCATCTATCCTCCATTGGTAAACCACACCTTGAGGTGTTCAACACGCTCTTACCTGATACTTTTTCTTCACATCTCTGTCAATATTTTACGTGGTCTTTAATTTTTTCAAATCGACAGCTCTTGATGACGATTCCTGTTTACGAAACAAAATCCCTGGTCTCATGAAACCGCGCTTCAATCCACATATTGGAGGTTCTAGTGTTTGCACCCTCTTTCAAGTTGGACAAGCTTTGCTAGCCGGAACTCTGGCATCTGAGGCGATGGATGTATTTTGTGCTTGAGATACCCAAACAGCATCCAAGCATGGTTATTCATGTAGCACGGCTAAGCCAATACAGTGAATTTCCAAACTTCACCTTTTGAGTTCCTGGCTAGTTCTCGCGGTCTTGTACTCAGTCAGTCGGCATTAACATGGGATTGGCATAACTAACTGTGTAGGAGTTTAAGTTGCTAATAAAGCGCTGAGTCCTAAGGCAGAAAGTGGACTGCTTAACTGGATCCCAGTTAACATTCACCTGTATGCTGTTCATTTGAATAGTAGTACAGTGTGAACAAAAAAGAATAGTGTGCCTCACTGTTGGTTGTCTATAATCTCTGCCTATACACATTGACTGCAGTTCGGATGCAGTGAAAGCTGAGTTCAACCGAAAAATGGATAGCCTGCCATTGAAAGTCAAACGTTCAGATGTGGTTGGCATAACAGTTGATTTGAATGTACAAATCCAAAAGCTGAGTCAAGCAGCGAGGCACTAAAAACTGAACCCAAAGGCACTCATCAACCTTGCGCACGTTTTCGCAATAAGCCAAACCTGTTGTGTGACGGCTAATGACATTACCTGTCTGTTAAACCTCGGTAGGTAAAGCGGTGCTCAAATTCGTGACACACTGGTTGGAAGTCAGAAAGGCACTACGGTGGTACGTCCTGATAGCCATCCAGACGAATAGACGACAGCGGTCGCCTTCTAAGACCATACACAGGAAGCCATCTCTTTCCAGCCAGCACAAACGTCAGACAAAGAGATAGACTATCTGGTTTGGCGTCCAGGGACCTCAACTCAACGATAAACATAAGTAAATAGACCATATCGTTATCAGTTGTCGCTGGAAGATTCCCGCTCCTTGTGGAGAACGCGATTGGTCAGTGACCAAGCGCATGTCCACGCATAAATGGACATCGAAAAACCACAGCTACGAAGCCTTTTCAAGCGTAAAAGTGGCGACTGACTCTCAGAAAAAGGTAAGAGAGGGCTATCGAATCTCAGCAGATTTTTCTAAACTAAAGGATGCATGTGAACGCACTTTTACGGGATCAAAGGAGGATGAAAAGCGGAAGCAAGTCAAATGTAGACTGACAAAGAGCATCATCATCCACCAGCTGATGATGATGCTATGATACTTAGAAGTGGTGGGCTCTAAAGCTACTATCGCCTGTTGAGCACTTAAGCTGCTCAGACACTACATTCGGTTAGAAATATCAACTGAAAAGGTAAAAGAGAATCCTAAAAACTCATGAATGAATTTCATTACTACCCACTACCAATAAAATGCCTAATTCCTACTATGTCGAAGCTGATTTCACCGAATCAGGTTTCATCGCCTTTCACTATGAAACACCAACATTCATGATAGCTTCCAATAGATCACAGTAAATAAATATTTGTCAGTGATTCGAGATGTCGTCCCACCGTCAATGTTGTGAATGAGATCTCTGCTATTTTTGCATTTTGCAGGATTGTGGCGAGAAGGTTAGGAATGGTAGTTGTAGTGGAACTGCATTACGACAAAATTAGTTTCAAGTATTTCCAGGCTTTCACTGATTCTTCAGATAATATTCACTTCCGTCAGAACCACATTGTCAGGTGATTCATTGTTAATCGATTATTCTTCACATAGCTCGCCAACTGAGAAGCACTAATCACTACCATACATTTTACTCATTCTAAAACACACTTCCATAGACTGAGGCTTGAGCAGTTGGGTGGTATCATTAGCCGTCACACCATAAATGTGCCTCTTCTTTGCGTGAAAATGCACTTATTTCTTGTTTTAAACACTCATTATTATACGAGCCGGTCACCGGATGGTAACCGATGTAGCTGTCAGATGCAGAGTGCTGCTCAGCACTAACCGGAGTCCATTTATCCAGCTCGCAATGTGGTCAGTAAGTTGAGTGGACCAACGCTGCACTGCACTTTGCTTTGATACTGAATGTTATTGATGACATTACAGACCTGATCGATAAACTGAGACCAATGCTGAGTACTTGATAGCTATATCAGTCATCATGTGATGAACCATTCATGTACGTAATCCACTCATACAGTGGTCAGTCTTGACCTGGATAGCTTAATTCTAAGATCTCTGACTTCGACACATTGATGTAGGTTCGAGTGTCTGAAGAAACGTGTAGATCTTCTCATGAATGCAGACTGTCTTGCTGATGAATGCCAGTAAGCATGAAACCTCGATGAAACAGAGCTTTCCTTTGCTTTTCTCCTAATGTCTCACACCGAAGCGATCATTATTACTTTCTATTTATTCAGCGTACTAGTCTTCTTTGAAGGTGTTGTGATCTATGCGTTTGAGTGTTCATCTTTCAGCTTCAGCTGACAAAGTTTAAACGGTTTGATACAATCATTTCTCAGACTGTAAGTATTTCTCACTGCCTAGTTTATCAGCATCTACTATCCACTGACTTGAGAGAAAGTTGATAGAGAATAGTTTGTTGCTTTTGTCTCTTTGTAAAAATTAATAGACTTATAAGTTTCAAAAGCCGTACTGCAACAACTTTCCAGCTGGTTGTGTTACAGGAAGAGCAGTACACAGTTTTTGTTTGAATGTTGCATGGAAACTTGTCCTCAAGCTGGCTAATTGTCGTCTCAGTGATCTCAGCTGAAGATGAGGAGTGTCATCAACCTGTTGATTATGAAACTTTATTGCGCCAAGTACAAGGATATTTAGTTATTCAATTGCCAGTATCAGATTACGCCTATAGAGAAAGACTAATGAGATCGTCAAGCATATTCACTCATTTCGTCTAAGTCTCTATTCACACCACTACTTGTGGTTGGAATGAACTCAATGAGAGTACAAATGTGTGCATCGGTTTTTGAATTGCACTTGTTCTAAGTGGTGGATTCGAGATAAAGCGCAAACTACATTGTTCAGATATATGAGATCAAGCCCACTTTATCTACCTAATTCCGCGAAACGCAATCACAAGTTATCTGACTTGATAAGTGACTAGTTACTCTGCACCACCATAATGTCCTGACGAAGCTCGTATTTCCACATTTTTAACGCTATGTTCACTTTCTTGTAGGTCTTTTGGCTGTAAAATACCGCACTCAGCAGCCTTCAGAACATTCATGGCGAATATGGGAATTATTCGGAAGGTAAAAGTAGGTAGTGTCTAGTTGCTAGAGAAGAGTTAGTAGATAATGTAGGTGGAGTGGTAAGTAAGAAGGAAGTAACGTTGACAGCAAACCCCAGAATCTCAAGCGTCCTTCAAGTAGTGTATCTACGTCCCCAGCAATTTAACTCGATATTAATGTTCCGACTTTGGTGACACCTTAATAGGGCCTTACTACTAAGACCTCTGACTAAAGAAGCTGAACCCATAAACAGCTTGGAAGTCACATCTGAGTTAATGAGTCAAGACCCTGATATCTAGTATGTTTAAAATGAAGTTTTTTGTTGAGTATTCAATTATATTCGGTCATGGTACCATGATCGATAATAGGGCCTTACTACTAAGACCTCTGACTAAAGAAGCTGAACCCATAAACAGCTTGGAAGTCACATCTGAGTTAATGAGTCAAGACCCTGATATCTAGTATGTTTAAAATGAAGTTTTTTGTTGAGTATTCAATTATATTCGGTCATGGTACCATGATCGATAACGCTGCGTAGTTATAAAATGTAAATTCACAACAGTAACGAGGTGTGCGCAAGCGAAAAATGTCGCATAGACTATGCTACTACGTAGTGCATGATTTTTTCTCCTACCCGGGCGACGGTAAGCACGCTCTCCGTCTGATCAAATGAGGGAATAGTTGTTAAGTTTCCTTATTCCTACCCAACAACTATTATTAGAGGATAAGTACATCTTACTGTATTCACAGTGGGTTACTGTACACACGTAAAACGACTTACTTGAACAAACAAGCCACCTACCTAAGTGACACCACTAACCAACAAATTAGTCAACACAGTGGAACCCGCCACACCAGATTGAGGTTATTGAAACTTAACCTTGAGAGCTCACATGTAGCCAAAACTGTGTAGCGCAGTTTGCTATTGTCCTATCCTATCAGACTTTCAACTGCATTAACTATGCCTGCTTTTAGTCGATTCCATCCTGTTCTGGAATAATCTTCAATATGAAGCCTCAAATATACCAGGTTATAGGTTTTCATGTGCAATTACTTGACCAACGATAAGAGCATTAGGTACAATGAATGGTTTTGAATGAAACCATTTAAAATGGATGAATTAGCAAGTGATCTCTATGAGACCAGCAATCTTAAAGAAGAAGTGAACAACTTCATTACACCAATGAGTTTTTAAAGGTGGTACTGTTAGTTTCACTATCTGTCTTCTATCATCTACAAATCAGAGTTATATTCTTTCCAGGAACAGTAGGAGAAGCCTACTATCGCGATGGGTGCCCATAACTGGTAAAAATGCTTATTTTCTACCGATATTATGTGATGCTGCGATCCAGATATGGCACGAGAAATGATGTGAAACAACCCTAGTTAGACGAGTAGGCACAAACTGCAGCGCAACAGAATGAGAGAGATCTGGGGAAAAACTTGTCCTGGGACTATTCAATTTCGGTTTCTATTCAAGGGATTTTAGTTCAAAGTGAAATAAGTGAAAAGCTGCCACAAAAACTGACACAAGAACCATTCTTCTGCACATCAAGAAAATCTTGGAAACCGTATCTGCTTAAAATCTCAGTGTAATAAAAGCCGATAAAATCTCTGTGTTGTTCCCTGCGTTTACCAGAACAACCAGTAAACAAGAAGTAACTGGTCGTTATTATCTGCGAAGTCAACTGCCTTAAGTACGAACATCAGTAGGTGGGACAGTCAGGTAGATGGGTGTTACAACGCCAGTTTGAACACAAACATGCTGCCAAACATCATGAAATGAAGTCTCACTTCTCAATGCATTGTGACGGCCAAAACCGTACTTTTGACTGAAACACCCGCAAAATACTTGAACGTGCAAACAACGGACTGATCTCCACATCGATCTTGAGGTAACTTGCCAGCCCAGTCGAAACAAATCAATCACAGAAGTCAACCGATCCAAATGTGAGGAAACCCTCAAAGCGACCAAAAAGGAGACCATGAATGAGTCAGATCAAGATAACTCTCAAACAGTCTACCAAACTTCCGTAATTAACCAATTGATGCAAAAAGAACGCCCCACTCCAATGAAAGCCGATCAGTCAGCAGTAGCAAAGAGCAACTCCCCAGTAAGGGCGAATCGACTAATCAGCGTGGAACACTTCCCTTCGATACACAGAAGTCAACCATTCAGACCAAGACATCCCTCGTCTGTTCGATTCAGCCGGTGTTTAGCCATCAAATTACGGTGACATCCACAAAACCCTTCGAGCTAAAGTCACCAAACCAAGTTCGGTGTTGGCTGCGTACTCGCCAAGTGACCAGTCAAGTTACAATTAGGAAAAGTACCATGAAGTGAGCATCTATGCACAACCAATTATTCACCTCATTTTCAAGCCCTGGTGTACCTGTGACAATATCTGACACCGAAGTATCTGCCAATGAAAACTCCAGCCCTCGAACCAGCTCGCTGTGAGCGTTCACATCTTAGGCCACAAACATTCCCCACGATTTCGGCGGACTAAGTCATTTGTGCGGACGGAGGTCAGTAGGATGTCTGTTTGTCTCGCTCCACCCTGAAGTTTCAGAGGGGTGCCCAACTCAACCTTACTTGGTCGCACCAACCACTTCTGCAAAGAAGCAGGAAAGAAGTGATAGGCATGCTGTCCAAAACTCTTGTGGGCAATACAGTAAGGATTGAAAATAAGGCACCGTGGCAGAGTATAGTTCCACATCTGCCCCTCTGTTTGATGCACCACAGTGGTAAATAATAATTGTCGTTGCATGTTACTGGTGCTGAATCACTGTTCGCTAAATGAAGTGAGGGATTTAATAGGTGTTTTACTATGCGCAACAAGCCTTGTGTCCGTTTAGAGGTGAAGGCTATATTCGCCTTATCAGCTTTGAAGTGTTATGCATTTTTGTGGTCATTCAATAGTCTCGAGAGCTCCGTTTCACCAGCCAGATCAGATTCCTATTAGTGGCGGTCAGCCATCTGCTTTCTGCCTGCTTTGTAGTCATATGTCCGGTACCAACATGCGTGTACGGCCATGGCCCGGAAAGATTACACCAAACTCAACAAAACCTGGTCCAAACGACAATGTAAGCTGCGCAAATCATAAGACGAAAACAAACATGCAAACAGCCTCAACTTTCCAACGGTGTTCAACGGGAAATTCTCGATTGGTCCCAAGAAAGAGAAGGAAAGAGTGGGCAAAGCGCTCGGCGGGCAGGAACCTGAGATCATTGGGAATTCGAAAGACAGAAAAGCACCAGAAATCTCCTGAGCAGGAAGGAAGGACAGTTCTTCACATAAAAGGGGCGACTGAAGAGTTGCATCGTCTTAGCCCTGCTTGAAACCTGCGTGACGTTACTGGTACCAGGTGACGCTTCAAGTGTGACAGCCTTGCCTGGGAACTCTGCTTTGAATGTGAGATGTACACCCCTTAATCGAATAGAGGCGGCCTATTTCTAACCATGGTCAGTCCTACAGTACTGGCGACACTGAATCACTTAGTGCTTACCTGGTTCGTGCTGAAGTTTGATAAACACAAGGTTCAGTTAATCGAGTCTCGGGACTCGGCAAGCAGGAAGAAATCAGAATTTTCACCCAATCCTGTTAACGAAATCACCAGGGTGTGTAATTCAAGAAACGTATCAGATGAGAAGTCTAGGGGGATCAATAAGCTACCTAGGCGCTATCATGAGGTAGAAAGCCAAATAACTGCTCGCGGTAACCTAGTATTTCTCAAGAGCGTAATGGACCACCATGGGTTTCCACACAGAATTTAGTACAAGATCGACAGGATGTCACGAGAAATTTTGTTTTTATACACAGCCCAAAGCAATCAAACCCATCGCATCTACAAGGCAACTCCGTCGTTCGAACTAGTTCCATAAGGTGAAAACAAAGTCTTCAAGGTCAATATTCTTCAATACTGGGGATACATAGGATATGCCATTGACATCTAACATACTTGGTGCTCAAGAGGAGCGAAGGGAGTCTACCATTCTGTACCTATAATGCTTGGGAAGCTCATAGGCTAAGAACGAAAAGCCCGTCTTCACAGTCTGAATTTCAAACTCCGAGGACTTTCGGAAGACACTGATTCTGCAGAATATCAATAAATAAACTACCAATGATCATTTTTGAACACATTCATGGACGCGAAATTCGAAGTCAGATGAAAACCCTTGCTTTGCGGTTAAGAAGATGACGATCACAAACTTTGGTTAACCAACGTAGTGTTTCCTGTCCAGTTTCATGACGGCAGTTATATTTATAGCTTTCGGTTAAATAAGAACCAACGGTGCACTGACTGTCGACACGGAGACCGGTTAAGCGAAGGCTTTACTGAGTTGACAGCCCATCCGAAACCATGAGAATTTTTAGATGTTTTCCCACACATTTTCTACCAAGTATCATAATTCACGCATCTGCATCCCACTTCCTCGACAGAATGTCCACAGTGCTCTTCTGTAATCACGTTGAGCCCCCTTAATAGGCAGATGCCGCATAAAGCCGTGATTTGCAGACTTGCGTCTTTCTACGTCAATGCTGGATTCACCATACACTGAGGAAACAAGACCGTTATGAATAACGGGAAAACTTCTTGACTTATGTATCAGACTAGGAAATAAACTATTTTATGGCCTTAAAAAAGGAAGCACCACCCCAGTAGATAGATTTACATACGCGCACTGGCAAGCTGAGCTGAACTAATACGTAAGCTAAGTGAGATTCGCCTCCATACTTCGACATGTATGTGACAAATTTACCAGGGGACATGAAAATCTGTTCAGGTTTTTCAACAGAAAGAATCTGCGAATCGCGCGAAATTGCTATTGAATGCGCTCAAACATGCACGAATACGTTGGAAAGCACGCCTGACATATACATTGACGCTAATAAAGTTACCAAAGAGCACCTAAGACCTGGCTCTTTATCATTACCGCTCCGTAAATTCCGGTCATGACAAATAATCGCGATCGCCGACCTATTTTGGTTCTTTCAGGGTTGTTGCTGGAACCAAAGAGAAACACACGTCCTTACTCAAGGTACAGGTTGATGGAGAAACCCACGGAAAATACATTTCCCTTCTGCTAACCCGTAGGCAAAACTATTGCATCACTGTGGAAATGAGTAAAAAGAGTGATCTACGAGTCCTAAATACATAACTTAAGGTGCTGGTCTTTATGGTTTTATTCGGCACACAAAGCTAGTGGAAAGTGGTCAAGTTATTCAAACCATTCAGAACTTCATCATGCTAAACTGATTTACACATGCATCTTCCTCGTTGGACATTCATCGAGGGGATATCTTTCTCCCGGTTTTTAACATTTGGGCACATGAAAAACCTCACAAAACCTAGAACTGTGTTGTTGCCATTCTCCACATGAAAATGATGCCGTTTAGTGAGAGAAGGGTTTTTCTCCTGCTTCCTGCTATCGCACTCGCTTCCATCTCATAATGAAAACCTGTTGACCCCTCATAATCAGCAAACTGTCGACATTATCATATATTTATTCCCGGGTATAAAGGCACATACCACTTCCACAGGCACGAATAAATTCACATGCAAACTGCATGTTGCTTAGGAGCAAGCAGCTTCAATCGCTGAGATGTTTGTATTGCACATCAATGAAATGTAGGACGTCAACAAAATAAATATGTAAAAATTGACACCGTGGACGGTTGGAGTTATTGTCTCCGCATTAACAAAAATCAGAGTTTGCACTTAAGCACTACAAGGGTTGCCCGGAGAAGAAACAGAGCCTGAAGCTAACCCTTTCCTTGTTGTGTTCATAATATTCTGCCTTCTACTAGTGACGAAAGGCTGGTGCACGAATATGTGTATATGGTTTGTTACTTATTGTTCGTTAATG